CTCAGTAGCAAAACTCCCATTGACTTTAGTGGGGCCAGCATTTCATCCTACATGCATCAGTGTGAAAGTGATTTGTGCTGCACGGTTACATCAGGATCTATGCAAAATCTCCAGTACATACAAGGCCTTCAATACCTAAGGATGTTAAAATGCGATTATGTGTCTAATCGTATAGCCGATACAATTTGTATCGACTTTAGGATTAGTCTGTAAGCGCTGATGTGTGGAGCCACAGCAGAGAAAGCTCCGGGAGCCAGCTCTAGAGCCACCCACACTGCTGCTCCGCATTTTAAATATAGTAAGAGCCACTGGACTTTTACTACATTTAAAACGCAGAAGTGCAGTGATCAGCATGAGCCAGGTCTGCTCGGTCCTGGCTCGCACTGAATCCAGCGGACCCTGTTTGTAGCGGACATTTCTGTCCAGAGCGAAGAGAAGCTGATGCTGGACCATTCCTTGCTCGCAGTGTTGAGGGCTGGCCACAGGCAGGGGCTGCTCAGGTTCCCCCCAGAACTAGCTCCTGCTTCTCTCCCCTTTGTTGCCTCTCTCTGATAGAGGCAGCACGGGCTGGGGAAGCGACTAGTTGAGTGGCTACTCAACATTTACTTATTGGATAGTCACTAACATCCATATCAATACCTAGAAGCTTAGACAGCATTTTCATCTTCTTCTATGTTTTCTTTTGCCTTCTACAAATGCAGTTCCCATTTGATGGCAACAGTACTGGCTATTGTTGCAACTTCTGGTTCTCATTGGTTTAATCCTAGAAGTGCAAAGCAGAATTGCAAAAGAATGAAATAAAATGAGTGTGTGTGTGGCTGTAAACCCCAGGATTTGTATTAAATCTCCCTTTTCTGGGGTTTCATATCTTAGCACTTTCATATCACATTGATTTTGAAACTTTATAGAGAAAATGCATTAAATTTTGTTTGCCTACAAAAAGCTTTATTATGGTTAAGTGAAGGTTGCAGGCTGTCAGAGTTTTGAGTGCATATGCCTTTTAAGATCTCAGGAAGTTCCTGCAGAGTTTTGGAGGTGCACAAGAGTGAGGTTATACATAGATAAAGTCTCTCGGACCCTTTGGGGCAACTAAGGAAACTCAAGAGGGGCCCTTCAAGCCTTAGGGATTCTTGCAGTCACACTCCTGTCGGCAGTAGAAGGCTTGTTAGAATGCCACTAGCTTCAGAAATTCATTGAAATTGCTTATCCTTCACTTCTCTGTAAGCCTTATGATGCTGAGCAGAGGCCAGTCAATTCCTAATCTTTTATCACAAGCATTTCCTGAGACAAGTGACCATCCCTTATGACAATCCCTTAAACTAGTTGCCAGTTCTTTTCCTTGCAGAAAACATGTCTATCATGAAAACAAGATGTGTATCTTATGAGACAATATGAGTGAGCAGAAGTTAGAACTACATATCAGGGCAGCCCAACAATTCATTGATTTAAGCTGTTTCTTTCTGACAAATAGTTTTACAGTTTTTCTTATTGTTATAGCATCTAAACATCCTTGCAATGGAAAAGCATTTCGTTTTACTGCCTTTAAAAAAAAAAAAAAGGCAGAAGAAAATAAAATGGAGCAAGATGTTAGTCCTGGTTGTCTGCCTGGCTTTTCTGGATTTACACCTGGAATATAGTGTTTTGTTCTGCGTACCTTAAGTTTTGCAAAGATATTTATAAATTGTGAGCAGGACTTTGGAATTTTCTCTTAGGAAAATTTTTAAAAACTATTGCTAATGTAATTTACATGAACAAAGTACGAAAACTATATATCTAGCTTTGTATGGCGTACTGCAAGGGTATTTATATAGCTTGTACCTACAGGAAGGTGTAATCCTTTATTGGTAGGTAGATGACCTAATAAGTCTTTTGCATCTTTATTATCTGTGAATCAATGACATTTTGGGGTCTGGACATTTTCCAGGAAACTTAAAAACCATACTATTTGCCATTCCCTCTAGTTAAGAACTGCTGTTATAGATTCCCTATTCATGTTTGGAGAGCGGGAAAAGGAAGAAATGTGCCTCAACATGATTCTTTTTCTTTCCCATTATTGTCTGACAGTGTATTGCTGCTGCTCTCCCCTCTTTAAGAATAGCTTTTACAAATTAGTGAAATTGCCTTACATGTGTTTAGAGACAGCTGTTTGGAGAATTCTGAATAGGTTTGCCTGAATAGATTCAGACCATCCCTAGATGGAGATATGGAGCAGAAGTGTCATCAGAAACCATTTCCATCAACATTACTTTTTTTTGGCTCTTTTGAGAGAGGGCCTAATTGGTAAGAAAATACAAAAAAAGACCCCAGTTGTTTTAAGGAGCATTCTGCTGATGAAATTCCTGACTTGCTGAGTCAGCCTTGTATTTTGTGTTTGTGGTATCAAGCAGTGTATAATTTGGATCCTGTTCTCAGCTTGTTGTGGGCGGGCTACTTTGGTTCAGGAAAATGTAGTTGGTTAGTTTTATCCCTTCAGGCCAGGAATCATTATGTAATAGTGTAATCAATACTCAAAGTTTGAAGGGTTACTAGATAATTCACCAGTCTTAGAGCTCAGAAGATTTGGGGTTGGAAAAAAGGAGTGCCTTCTTGAGGAAAAGCTTAGTAACTTTCAAGAGAATAATGCTAGTTATGGCTGTGAATCCACATTTTAGAATCTTTGTGAGTGAATAAAGGAATTTTCTGTTTAATTCTCTTAGTGTATGTCTAGTCTAGACTACACGGCTCTGTCGCCAGAGCCGTGTAGATTAGTTTACTAGACATACCCAAATGAAGTGGCGATTTAAATAATCGCTGCATCTTTTAAATTAAAATGGCTGTCACGCTGTGCTGATCAGCTGTTTGGCGGCACAGCGCTGTAGTCTGGACGCTCCGTGGTCGACATCAAAGGCATTTGTCGACCTCCCCAGTAAACTTCATCCCACGAGGCATACCGGGGAGGTTGACAGATGCCTTTGATGTTGACCGCGGAGCGTCCAGACTACAGCACTGTCACGCCGAACAGTTGATTGGCACAGTGCGGCAGCCATTTTAATTTAAAAGTGGCGATTATTTAAATCGCCGCTTCATTTGGGTATGTCTAGTAAACTAATCTACATGGCTCTGGGGACAGAGCCATGTAGTCTAGACATACCCTTAGTGTATCTCCTGACCTGCTTCCCACCTGACTTTTAAAATTCTAGCTTACAATAACATTCTATTCTCAGAATATATACCTTAAAAAAAAAGTATATCACCTCCTTTTCCCTCTCAGTTACGAATAGTTCTTTCCTTCTTTTATCTTTTATTTTCCAGTCACTTTTTTTGTCAGGGCCCTAACAAGTAGCCAAGGCTGACTCTGCCATACAAACAGAATCCCAAAGAAGCAAAATAGTAGTGAAACCCAAGTGTTTGTGAGTACAAACAGAGGAATAGA